AGGTGAGAGCGCGGCCCGGCCGGGAGGAGAGGGGGGCAGTAACGGGGTCCAGGGACTTGATTCGGTACCGACAGAGTAGAATCCCCTTCTCCAAACGTCCCTTCTGCTAGAGTTCACCGCGCACCCAGCCCTGATGTGGGGCATAAGTACATAAACTCTGTCCTCCCCTTTCTGAAGCATTTGCATTTTACTTTTCTTTCACCGCGGGCCCAATTGTAAACACTTTAGTCTTATCTCCTCTAAACAGACAGGTTCCAGCTTCCCTGCTCACTGCGCCGGGCCTTCTCCCCAGCGCGGAAGCCTGCGCGTCTCTCTTCTCCGATCTGTGCTTTTCCACCCGTCGCAGTTGCCTCCTCTCCTGCCCACTCTCTTCGGAAACCCGACCCTCTCCGAGCCCCCTCCTCCGCCCCGCCCCTCTCCCGCTAGGTGTCGAAGATCTCTTTCCACTTGTGATTCCTGTAATCGCGTTCCCATTGCTCCTCGGACAACCGCAGGTCGTGCCCTGCTCCTTTCCCCACTCGTCCCCGGTTTCTCAGAGTCCGCGCGCTCTCACCTCCCGAGGCCTTTCCTTTACCCCTCTACTCCCTGCCTGGCCCCACCCTCTTCTTCAAAACTCCTTGGACTTTTTCTGGGGAGGGAGGAGACCTAGCGGGCGCCTTTGGGGCCCTCTCAGCTCTCAGCGTGGGAGACAAGAGCGTCTTAGGTCTTAATTTCGGAAAGGGTGGCTGAGAAACAGGGGGCTTTGTTTTTTGCCTGCCGAGAAGTTTGGGACCTTGTAGATGTCCAAGGCGCTTTCCTACAGGCTCTGCTGCCCGGGGCCAGAGGGCACCCCGGCCTGGGTTGGCTTTTCTATAAGGTGTGTGGCGCAGCTGGAAGTTGTGTTGGCTCCTGTTTGAACCCAGGGCCAGGTCACTCTTCCAGGGCAGGGCAGGGCTAGGAAGGGGGATAACGGTGGAGGTTCAGTCTCCACGCTTCAGGAAGACGACTTGTTCGGTGCAGGTGGTTGGGGTTCTGGATACAGAACGGGGACGGCTGCCTGGGGGCAGGGGAGGAGAGACAGGGCTGTAGGGACCCAGAGGAATGGTGGGGCAAAAGGAAAGGGGCATTGGAGCCCAATGAATGGAGGTCGGGGGCTCCGTGGGAAAGGAAACTGCGGTGCCAAGGGCTGGGGTGCTGTGGGTGTGGTCGCCTCCGCACTAACTGCTCTTTACATCCTCATTTCTCCCCCCCCCCCAGAGGCCAAGTTACAGAAGTTTGACCTGTTCCCCAAGGCCCTGCTTCAAGCAGGCCGGCCGGGCAGCCCGCCCCCGCCACCTGGGAAGCCCTTATCGCCCGACGGTGCGGACTCGGGTCCCGGGACCTCATCCCCGG